GGCTCTGGCCCCGGGTGAGCCCGACTCTATCCCGCCACAGCCGGGGGGGGGCTTCTTTTCCCCGGCCCCCTCCTCGGCCGGGCCTCCTGCGCCTCTCCCGGCAGCCGCCGGGCGCCTCCGCGGGTGCCTAGGGCCTTGGCGGTGTCTGCGGGGAGGCTCCCCCGGGGCCAGCCGGGGGGCTGAGCGTGCTTGGCCGAGTTTGTGAAGGTTTCTCCCGAATCGCAGGCTGAGGGAGCGGTCCGGAACCGGCCCGAGAGGCCCCCGCGGCGGCGGGGAGAGCCCTCACCTCTCCGGCCCGGCCCGGCCCGGCCCGGCCCTGCCTCCTGTGAGCCGTCATCGCGTCTTCGCGTGAGTGAAGCTTCAGTTGGGTTGTGTAATCCTGGGGTTGCGCTCTCTCCTGTTCCTCGATACATTCCTCTCCCTCCGAGTGGGTGAGGAAGCGCAATGGGAGTTCAAGGGCTCTGGAAGCTGCTGGAGTGCGCTGGGAGACCCATCAACCCAGAAACGCTGGAAGGGAAGATTCTTGCTGTTGGTATCCTTTGGAGGTAGAGCCGAGGACCCAGATTTGCGGGGGAAGTTGTTTTAATTATTTAACTTATTTCCGTGTGATCTGTTGTGTTTAGGTTTTTTTGTTTTAAATCATGACATTTTGATAAGTAGATTTTATGCCTTATAATATGGCAAATGATAAGATCTTTTTCTATCTTTTAAAGAAAGAGACTTTTAAAATAGGTTCATCACACAAGTGTCGGACTGTAGGATTTTGTGCGTTACAAATAAACAAACCGCTCTCAGTAGGAATGTAAGATGAACAAGTTTTAAGTACATCAACTTTCCTATCATATACACATAGCAAAAAGTTGGGAAGATGCAGAAGCAATTACCCTTCATTCATTTGTAAAAATAACTGGGGAAGTGCTGCTGTCTGCACTGTTATTTTAACTCTGCTTTTTGGTCCAGGGTGATAGGGGCAAGAATTTGTTCTTCTCTGAAGTTTACAAGTATTTGGAGAATCTTGACTTCAGTGAGCTAAGCCTGAAACAGTTGGCAAAAGCCACTCAGTCAAAATATGTGCACTTTATAGGAACTATTAATACGGTGTATGTGTTAGATGGCACATTTTTTTCCTCCTTAACGGCTCTTTAAGACATCAGTATTTGGTTGAACCAAGCAATCAAGGGAGCCAGAGACCGCGGTGGTAATTCCGTACGGAATGCTCACCTCCTCACTCTGTTTCATCGACTTTGCAAGTTACTGTTTTTCCGAATTCGGCCTGTTTTTGTTTTTGATGGAGAGGCACCACTTCTGAAGAGACAAACCTTGGTAAGTACCTTTGCTGAGTCATTGCAATGCAAGATAAGATGTATGTCTGCTGATACTAGGTAGGCATTTTCAATTTCCTTTTTATTCTGCTTGTGATTCTGAGCCTTGAGGACGGAGGGCTTGAAGTGCGTGGCTGTGGAGGTGCTCTTGGCACTCCCAGTCTTGGTTAGCTGTAGGAGTATGCAGAAGCTCCCTTTTGGTATATTCAGGTTTGATTTGCATACAAACCGGTTTCAGAGAGGTAGATGGTGGCATGAGCCTGGGTCTTGCTCCAGAATGGGCCTGAACGCAACTCTTGCAAGCATTTGTATCCAGAAGCTGAAAGCTATTCCGCAGTCCCACAGAGGAAACTGACAGAGGTTTAGAGGATCTGAAGACTATGTCCCTATGTCATTGATGTAGGATGAGTTAGAACTTGCTTGTAGACTGACTCAGCATACAGAATTATAGCAGCAGTTTGTTGGATATGTATCTTCAGCATCCAGCAAAATCTTGTTGCTGTTCATCTTATTTCTACAGGCTAAGCGAAGGCAGAGGAAGGAACTTGCCATCAGTGATTCCAGGAAAACTGCAGAGAAACTGTTGAAAACATTTTTGAAGAGACAGGTGATCAAAACTGCACTTTCAGGCAAAAGGCAAGAATAAAAATTATTTTATTTTCCCCTTGTTTCTAAGTGGCGGGTAAGTTTTTATGTAGCTATTAGTCACTATTGTTTGTTTTTGTTTTTTTTCCCTAAGCAATGAAGCTTTTCCCAGTATTACAGAAGTTCGGAGAGCAGAAATTGATGATATGTATGCATTGCCTTCTTTAGAGGATGAAGAGAAGAACAGGTAGGTAGAATTAAGAAAAATAGCTTAAATGGCTATAATAAACTCAGATAAAAGTATAAAACACATTTTTTTTTGACACTGCTGAGAGGTCTTTGACCCATGAGACTTCATTATCTATTCAGCATATTTCTTTATTTCAGTATCTTTTTTTTCTTCAGTTTCAGTTAGGTTTATAGCTCTAAATACAGAAGCCTTCTAGTTATTTATGGGAAAGTGACAGGAGAAGCCTTCAGCCCACAGATTAAATTTCTGCAATGGATTCATATTTATGGACAAAAGTGCTACCTCAGTCTCTGTGGCTGTGTCTATACCACTAAACAGAACTGATTGTTCAAGCTCAGGTAGCTGATATGTAGCAGCTGGATTCTGATCTGTGTTCCCTTATTCGGTGGTGCAGCTTCAGCATTAGTGGGCTTTGAATGTGCTTGTCAAACTTGTGACATCTTCTTGAATGCCACTAAGTGGGAAAGTGGAGCTATCCATTAGATTACACTTTGCACCTCTTATATATACTGACCAAATAAGAATCAGGTGAAGATTTAAACAGCAACAGTTGTCTCAGTTTAGTTTTAACTTAAATAAGTCTGCCTTCTTTCTTCCTCTTCAGGTCTTCTTGACTTGTATATGCATTTATGTGTATGTGTATGTAGGTATGTGTGTGTATTTTGATGTTGTATGTGAATTCTTCTACTTACTGGTGAAGGGATGGCTACTGTCCTTTTGCTTAAAATGGGAACTTTATTTTCCTAGGCAAATAGTTACATCTTTTTTCTCTTGGTGATTTTTAGCTCAGAGGAGGAAGATGAAAAAGAATGGCAAGCGAGAATGAGCCAAAAACAGATGTTGCAGGTAAGTGCATCCTAATTGCCCTGTTGCTGTGAGCAAATCCTTTTCTTCACAAGCCGTGTTAAAAAACAAACAAATTAAAAAAAAAAAAAGTGTTTGGAGGTGTAGGTCTTACCATAACATTATTAATTGAACAAATGAGTTAATTTTAAGCACTGTATGAATTCCTGCTAATGAGGAAATACAAGTATAGTTTTCTGCACTAGAATAGGAATTTCTTACTTTTCCTTTTGACTACTGTGTCTGGACATGTGGAGAAGAAACTGTTTTTTGTAGTCATGAAATACGTGCATTTGTACACATAAGTATGCACATATAAGACAGCATATTTAACAAAATTCCCATGATTCTCCAAAAATTAATTGTTGTTGAAGCATTTCAGTCCTTGAGTTTTCACAGATAAAATTCTGTATTCCATTCTGAGGAGAAAAAAATATGTAACCTAAGAAGATGGCATAATGATTAACAAAATTATCTCTGCTTTCATCAAAGTTAAAAAAAAGAAAAACAAGCA